AGTGTGAACTGCAGAGGTTTTACATCTTCTAATGACTTACTCCATGAAGAAGTCATTTCTGTAAATCGATTTCAATTACATTTGGCACGGGGGTTATCGGGAAGAGTTGGACAAGTTTAATATTGGTTCGCATCGCTCTAAAATAATCCTCAAACCAGACTCATATTGTATAATCTTGAACGGCTTATCTTATAAGAAATTGGTACTTTTCATAAAATTGCGTAAGAACTGGATTAATTCACTTCACGTCCTCGTACGACACTTATATAAGATATATTTAATATTATCCTTCCATCTACACTTAAGTCTCCCAACTTGTTACTTCGATGCACCGGTCTTCATACAAATTATCACAAATAATTTAAAAATATAATGTGTCCGTAAAAATAATCAGAGATTTCAATTACTTTTGTGGTACTTTAAATTCCAGTATTTGCTGCATTACTACAAAGTTAGTCTAAGAATATACATGAAAGTTGACACAGAATACTTCAAAGTAGGTGGTCCCGAAAATAATATTTCGGTTGTTTTGTCGGCCCACACAGTGGGTGATTTTGAAAACATTTAACCCCGTGACCGACAAGTGACACATCATTGCAACGGGTCGTCGGTCAAGCTTTCGGCTTTGAGCCACTGTCGGCAAAAAGTTCCAATTTAGGCCCCCTCCAGCGTCGACGAGAAAATTCTAATGCCCACCGAACAAAGCGCCTACCATTGCCCAGGCATATATATCTATCAACATCTTAAAATTGATGCGCTTAAAAACCATCAGCTCCGTGTTTGTCAGAGACCGGCAAAGACATTTTTACACAACTTTCGGAAATGTCTTACCCCCCCATCACCCCGCCCCATAAGCCGGAACAATCTGCCCCTTTTCAACTTCGAAACACTTCCGACATCTCAAACAAAACTGCACATTTTTTAAAATACAGTGCCACTTACTTCAGATGTTTTCAACGTACGACACGCTCAAAATTTTTTTTTTCCGGCAGACAATCAGAAAAGACTCGAAACACATCCGCCGTCCAAAAATCAGGCACCAAAAACACAAGGAACGAACCCAGTAGAAATACAGAATGTTCACTCGCCTCTGGCCCCGGTCAAAACAAAACTGATCTCGGCCCGAATGAGTACCCCTCCCCCATACGTCTTCATGGCGTCGTGTTTAGACACGGGACAACTTAATAACTTTTATGTATCTATAAATCCTTCGTTTGACCCAGTTTCCTTCCCACGTATGAAAATGGAACAAAAGACAGACACTCGAGCGTTTTAATTGATTATTTGAAAGCATCATCCAGAAAAATTATACGATAAAAGTTAAGTAGACATCAAACAAGTGAATACTTGAACAGCGCATTTAGGCTTTTAAAAAAAAACGTAAAGAGGGTGCACAGCCCTTCTTGTGGGGGTGAAATTTCCTATTCACCTCTTCGTTATTCTTTCAGAAAGAATTAATTACAGTAGTTAAGCACAGGAAGGATTGTAAGGTCAACATGGAACATGTATGTTGAAGTTCGTAAGGACGTGCTCTGCTTGGAAGCATATTCGCACTGTCTGAGGAAAACGGGCATAAGTAACGTGTTTTATAAATCCTTACGGTAGCTGCGGCCTTAGACGGCCAAGACCAACGTTCTGGTCCCTGAAATTGCCAAGGTCTTGCCTTCCATCGCGCGAATGAGATAAAATGATAAAAGATGCAGTTCCCAGAGAGAAATGCTACAGAATATCGACTGATTCATGGAGTTAAACTAATTCCGGACCGGCTGGTTTATGAACTGTCGTCTGTCGCGTTGTTTAATTTCATCGGCTTTCCTTCCTGCGTTCTTTATCCACCCTTCTTTCTCTCTCTCCCTTTTCCTCATTATTTCTCTTTGCTTCATTTTTTTAATTCCACCATTCTTGCCCCAGTTTCCTCCATCTTCCTTGCCGTCTCTCTGTACTGTCTGATGGCACATGGCCCACTCTTGCCCGCACTTCAGGCCCCAGCTACTCCGCGTTCAAGTGACCGAGCGTTGACAAACCGAGAATCAGACAAACAAACCCGGAACGCATGTGACCGAAGTGGTTTTATTCAATCTGCGTCACATGTCTGTCAACTATAAGAACTTGTCGACATATGTCACAGCAAGTCACGTGACCTATCGGCAGTCGTCGCGTGGGACCCGCAGGCCGCCTGCCTTGGTTCGTTATTGCGACATTTAACAACGCTGTTTCAGTTGTTTGTGAAATACTGCGATCATGTCAATTATAGCCCTCCGTAGATAAGCGCAATCTTATCGTAGTCTGGTAGAAGTTTACCAACGTTCCAGGGGTCCAACCCAGAAGAAATCCACTCCGTCATCACAGCCGTCAGAACCCCGAATCCTACTAGCATCCGTTCAAGATAATTCCGACTGTGGGTACCATCTTTCGGTGGACAAATGAACTTCTTGCTCAACAGTCGTGCAAGCTACGAAGGTTATCTCTCTCTCTCTCTCTCTCCCCCTCCTCCATTACTCAGTGGCTTTTTGCTGTTCAGGGCGAATTTTCCGTTCGCCTGTTCGTGAATTCGATTCCCGCCCTGGATGCGAAGGATATGAACCACTTCGCCATGATGATGGAGGCAGCAACGACCTCTGAAACGTCGGTAAACTTTTGCCTGGCTACATGGCGCAACATCCCTAGAAGACAGACATTTTCGTGATATACATGTTTACTGCTCCAATGACACAACACGAAGGCTAGTACAGAGTGTGGAGATACAGCTCCAAAGGGTCACATGGCTCTTCACGGTCAGTTATCTTTATCCCGTGAGGGAAGACCCAGGAGACACTGGGTTCGAGGGCACAAAAATGAAATCAGAAGCAGGTCCACCCCCTCGTAATAAATAAACTCTCCGACCCCCTCTCGCGGCAATTGAGTCAAGGTCATACGATTTGCTAGGCACCGACTGGTAATAACATTCAGGGACACAGATTTCCGGATCAATGAGGGCGTTAATGTTCTGGGTTTCTGCGCCGTGTAGACTAGCCGGAACCTAACGACTAGTCTACACGGCGCCAAAACCCAGAAGAACAGTGTCACCATTCCATTTGTCTTGTTATGTTTCTGTCACCAAATGTTAAATTCGATTTAGATGAAACACTTTGTAGTACCGATAAGCATCCCATCCACATGCAATTTGAAGTCTTTTTGTTCCTGCCGCGCCCTCAGTTTGACAGAAAGACTGACACATGTCAATTTGATAATGGCCAATAATCTAATCATGTCAATTAATCCTAGGGAAGAAACCGTGATTGCAAGGCAGAAACATCTGTGGTATTCTAAGAGACATACAGAATTTTGTTTTATTTTGTCCAAGTGAATTTAGTGACTTCTGGCAGTGTATGAAGACACACGCTCAAGGATATTCTGAAAGGATTATCTGATGTGGTAACAGACTCAATACTTTCTGTAACACTCACGGAAAACTTAATCTCTTCGCAAACTGTGAGGAATTCAACATGAGGGATAATCAAATCTAAAACTTCTTGACGATGGTGAAGAGTCAATTGAATAAAAAGTTTCTAGGATATTATCCATCGTCTAGTAAATATAAAACGTAAAACGACGTTTCGGAGATGGGACTCTATCTCAGTCATCAGGTTCCTACACAGTTGGGCCCACTAGACAGAGCTAATCCCTATCTCCGAAACGTCGTTTTACGTTTTATATTTACTAGACGATGGATAATATCCAAGTAAATTTTTATTCAATGACGGTTAATGCTAGTCGAATTGAATTAACTAATAAATATAATAGGCATTAAGACGTTATTAATAAGTAATCCGAAGTTCTGAAATAGAATATGTGCTACTACACATTTTTAGAAATAAAGCAATTTTGGGATTATTTCGTTTCGAGATAATATACAAACAAATGACTATGTGACTAACTAGAAGTCTATCTACCTGTTAACCAATTAATTAACCTTCTCACTCGCTGACTTTCTAAACTGACAGTAATGTGAAGCCATATAACCGATGTATATGGAAAACTTAAGTACCTACAAGCTTAAGTAACTAATGAACCTTCAATCTTTTCACAGAACTCGAGAAACAGAGAAACCATTAATATAACTGAACTGTATATCGAATAATTTTCTGTTCCATCACAGCAATACGCTGATTGAAGGGTATTCGATCGCTCTGCTGTTTCTAAGAATTATCTGCTGAAGCGAGCGACGTGCAGTGCCGAAGCTATTAAGTTCTGTGTACGTGTCAGATGATTATGAAATCCAGACTTGCTGTGTCTGCATGAATAGGCTTGTGATTACAATTAACGCGATTTAATTCTGAGACCGTTCTGCTTGTGATATTCTTGCTAGGGGATTATAGTCATTGCGTGCAGAAATCGTTGCTCAAAACACACTATACAAGCTTTTCTATCCATATCATCTTCAATCACCTTGTAATCGACCTTTGGGTGTGACAATTTCGTTAAACAAACCAAAATTAAGTCAATGAGAAATTCAAGATATTTAGTATCTGTATCGATGGCACGGCACGATCTTTACGCTATTCGCGATCACTTCGTCGGTTGCCGAGTTTCCTAGTCCCAGCGGCACAGCCACCAATTGTCCTCGTTTTGTATATACGTTTTTTTTTAAAAAAGAAATTCATACATAATTGGGCCCTCAAAGGGGGAAAATGAAAAGAGAATTGTGTTGGGCAGAATATTGCGATATTTGGTTAGAAAAATGTTATTCCGTACGTGTAAAAGAAAAATGTTGGAAATTGGAAGTGATTCAAAAGTCCCTCTGCGCACACGTGAGGTTCCCCGAGGCTGTATGAACTTGACGGTCACCTTTCTTTAAGTAGTTGTGCCGCGGAGAAAAATATTAGTTGTCAAATGTCTGATCACTCTGTATATCTGAGTTCCTAAGCCGGGATAATGTAGAAACCCAATACGTGTTGGCAGCGTATAACCGAAGTCACATATTCATCTGTTTTCAGCAAAGGTCTCTTTACACTTCAACCATGAATGACCTTATGAAGCAATTGGAATGTCCGGCCTGCAATAAATACATGGTACCACCCATATTTCTCTGCGAGAAGGGCCACAACATATGTTCCGACTGCAGACCAAGACTTCAGGGATGTACGATTTGTCAATACCAATTCATCGACTCCAGGAACGTCGACTTGGAGAACCTCGCTCGCAACATGCATTATCCCTGTGTCTACAATGACCTTGGCTGCTTTGAAATGTTGCCCATTGAACATATATCAAGACATCAAGTGATGTGCCCACACCGTCCATATATTTGCCCGCTCGCTCAGATCCCAAAAGTACAGTGCCCATGGGAAGGGCCTCGTACTGACGTACAAGGACATGTGAAGGAGATTCATGATCAATACATCGATAAAACAGTTGTCAAAAATGTTGGTAAAGTGCAGTTAAGTGATATTGATAAAGACTTCACTTATTCCAGAGTTGTAATTAGTATGGGACATGTGTTTCTGTATCATCTTGAAGTTGAAAATGGAGAGTTTCACTTTGCGATGCTGCTAGTGGGGCCAAAGGAACTAGCATCAGGGTTCCATTACGAGATAAAAATATGTACGGAAAATGAGATGATCCTTATGAGGAATGTGGTGTGTAGTAATGAAGAAGAGATCGACGCCATATTTAGTTCTGGGAAATGCCCAAGTCTTCATCTGAAAGCCATTAAGAATTTTGTGACTGAAAATAAGGAACTCTATTTTGAAGTAAAGATTGTCGTAGCAGATAAATCAAAGGACAGAATTTGTTGTTCTGTTATGTAAAAAGTTTCGATTAATTAAATTTGATTTATGAAAGTTGCGCAAAACAATAATTCGACTCCCTGTCCTTGTAGTTCTTGAATGTGATGTCCTGTTTCGATTTAAGATGGAGTGCTCAGTAAAGTTTTCGGACTTAAGGACTTTATAATTTCTAAAGCTCTTCAAATGTTGTTTAGTTAATCAAATCACATAGTGCGGGTTCGGAAACAAGAAATTAATACAAAACAAGAGCAGGAAAACACCTGTGAAAATGAAAATTTGAGATACCGATGAAACGACCGAACAGTATTCGACTGGTCATTTCGTTGTTTATTTAAAGACACTGCTTCAAATGTATAGGTTAAACTAGCTATTTCACTCTGTAATGGGACATGAATTCGGTAGGCATTTTCACAAATAAATCCATTGTAATTTTCTCGCTATTCTCTTTCAAGTCTGTTGCATCAAGCAAGCTGATAAGATAAAACGAACAAGTGACAGGCGCCTTATCTTTGCTACAGTTCCTTCTGAGAAGATCGAAAACTGAGTAGCCTTACACACAAAGCACATACTGTTTGATGGCAAGAATTATTCACCGGTGTTAGGTTACAGGATACTCTTTCGAAGTTCAAAGATTACAACCGAAAAACTAATCTAACAAAGAGAATGCGATACGAGGTTCTCATGGCGATAAAGGTGTAGATATCGGTCCTCTGGGTTATAACTCCGTGTAGGTACATACCATCGTTTCGAGGGAACATACTGCCTCTTTCTTCATATCTGAAACACTTCAGCCTTGAAGGTAGAACATAACATAAGACACTAATATCAAAATGAAAGCATGCAATATGAGAAACTTCGATACCGGAATGAACACGGTAATGCGCAGACCACAGTAGAAAAAGTGTTAACCAGACACCAGAATGATCAGCCAAAAGAGGTCGCCACGTGTAGGTAAATCTGTAACATGTTCCGTTGGGGCAAACCTAACTGAATCTGAAGTTCAAAATTAATTACAGACAGACAGACAGAGTCCTTGAAGTCTGACTGCTGTTGAATGTTCATTACTGGGTTTTCCGGAGCATGCCACCGGATTTAATGTCAAGGCCACATAACCGAATTCCACACCATTACACACTACACCTTTAAGACGTATTTTTACACGATGTCTCGCTCTGTTTGCATTAATATTGCGCCTAAACCATTGTTACAATGAGTACAATAATCTGTGATTGAAGTGCGTGTGATATGGTTAAGGATGGCCCTGGAAAATATGTGTGTCGAATTTTATCAGTTTACACGAGGCCGAATTATTTCTACCAAGGCAGAGGATCACAAGGAGAAGGTTTAGTGTCATATTCACTAAAGCGAATCGTCTTAAGAAGTATTCTTAATTATTTACACCGACGCTTGTATTGATTTGATGTTAAATTTCTTTGTTGATATCGGACGCGTTAAAAAGTGTTGTCGACTCTGATTTCTCAACACGGTTTCCATGGCAACTCATTAGAATCTAAATTACTCTGAATGGAATGTGGTGGCGTCGGGCTTCGTTTCAATGCCAAGGACCCAGAAAGCATCCCTCAATACAGTATTTCATAATCAGAGATACCCCGTCTTTCCGAACACCGTACTTAATTTAAGTGCAGGCAACGAAAATGTAAGTAAATATATAATTGACTTCAGACGCAGTTCAGAGAATTGAGCGTTCTACAGCACATGATTCAAGACTGATAAAGACATCAGCTGACTATCAGATATGTCCCGTGACGAATGGAGACTGATATAGGAGGAAAAACGTCAGTTGGCGCAGTGTGCTTGCCGATTTCTGAACTGCTGCGAATTATTGTGATTTACAGATTTCATTTCAGGTAAGTACATTTTGTGAGTCTGGTGGTGCAACTGACTGGCAATGAGCTTGAAGAAGATTCTTCAGTCTTTTCCCGGTAGACACGGGACTTGGCCGTTCGGATGGACACTGCGCCCGCAGATTCTTCATCCTGTAGCTTCAACATCACAAGCCATTGGATAAAGCTGCACAAAGGTTAAAGTAAAAATTTAAGAATAATTATAATTTCAGTTGTTGGTATCGCCAAAAACCTGAAAAATTATTGGCATGCTTATTCTGAAAACGGAGATAAATTCGCCACCCCCGAAGTCTTTGGAAATAAACAGTATGCGAAGACCCTACTGGTGTGACAGGATAATGGTAACTACATACACCTGTGACTGTGGATTGTGCCCACAGATTGTGTTATGGGTTTCGCGTGATTGCCAGAATAAACTGCAATCATTTTGCTAAACAGCATAAGGTCAGCCTTAAACTTTTAAAATTAATTTTATTTAGAATGATTTCGTGCCTCAAACACATTACGTCATTAAAATAATGCAGATTCTGTACTACGAAGGACATTAATGTAGGACTATGCAGGGAGCCACATTATTCCTACCAGTCGTCTAAGAAAGACACTAAGAAATCCCTCAGACCTCGTAAATGCTGTAGATGCTTTGCACCTAGGCTCAGATATATTTCTAAAACAGACAAATAACATCTATAATTACTTTTCAGAAAATCGCTTCAATGTTCTTGAAACCAATGGACACTGCTGCTTCAGAACTTCTTCGCCACACCCTCCTCAGCGACCTGGAATGTCCGGTGTGCAGGCAGTACATGTTACCACCGATCAGCCTCTGTGTTAACGGCCACAACATCTGTAAGAGCTGCAAACCTAACATGAAACACTGTCCAACCTGCAGACACCCGTTCACAACCATCAGATGTCTGTCCCTCGAGAAACTTGCTGCTGAATTGGATTTTCCCTGCACATACCAGACTTTAGGATGTAAGGAAACAAGGCGAGCAAAACTCATCACGCAACACCAGGCACTGTGCCCCTATGGGACATTTAGTTGTCCACTGCAGTGCAGGGTCAGGCTCTCTCGAGAAGCTCTTGTAAAACACGTCAAAGAGAAACACGAGCAGGACATTCACGAATGGAATGAACGTGTTCAGTACGTCAAGATTCAAAATTACGATGTCACGAAAAACTACACACAAGTAATCCTCGCCCACAATGAAGTTTTCGTTCGCTCGATTAAAGTCATTAATGACATATGGTATTTTCTAACACAGTATATAGGAACTGAGAAAGATCCTGGCAGATTCTATTACACCGTTTCATTTGATTCTAAGGACCATGAGGATACATTCATCAAGATCACTCATGGGTGTCGAAGTGCCAACGAGGATGAAAATGAAATCTACAGCACATGTAAATGCATCATGTTGCCAGTTGAAGTAATAAAATATACCGTGGTTGACGGAGAATTGAGTTACTATTTCCAGATTAAAAGAAAAGCCTAGTGAAATGCCGAACAGGATCAATGACGTTCTATCATTCTTAAACCACGCAATTTGGCGTAAATATTCAAACAATGGAGAATCATGGAAGCGAGCAAAACATTTGTACAGGAATTCAGAAGTTATGTTGTTCATCCTTCGATTGTATGTGACTGGTGGAGGTTGTATAAAATAGAATAAATTAGATTTCACACACTGAATACGTATTTGTAGAATTCGTGAGGTCTGCATGACTTCTTACGGACAATAAAGAAAGTTCCCCTCTTTACAGAGATCTTCCAAGTCACCTGCTTCTTCTACGTTGGTCTTTTGTAAGTTAGGAGGAGGTTTCCTGATCACATCTGATTTTTTTTTTTTAGTGTTCTGTCTGAGTACAGGTCCATATGAACAGGATCCTTCCATCCTTTTCTCGGACTGGGACCTGTTCATATACGTTCTTGGCAGATGATCCAGAAGTGGTTTGCCATTGCCTTCTTCTGTGTGTGAATGGAGTAATTGTTGGGATGCCACGGAGGAAAACTCCGTGTTGCCTAGACCACGGCTTTGGCCAACACAAGTTATAAATTCGGGCACCGCCGGGAATCGAACCCGAGACCCCAGGATTACAAGGCCAGCGTTCTAACCGCTAGACCAATACCAAATCATAAAAGTTTCTGAAAAGTGTAGTTCAAAATACGTACTCAGATTTCAGGTTCTACTGTAGTGAGAATGTTGGTTATGTAGTTTTGTGGGTTATATAGCATGCAGTCTTTATTGTGGTTACCAACATTTCT